GGATAGTCACACATTGCTTTTACATTATTGATGATGAGAGTTCTTACAGTTTAAGGACAGATTATTGTCTCAGTGTCTTAATTAACTGAATATCATCTCAGAAACATCTTAGCATTCTCCTCATCTCATGGGATGCTGTTGCATTTTGAACAGACATTTATGAAAAGTACAGAAAATTGCAATAATGAACTGAAATCTTTATATTACAAAGGGAGGAATCAAGAATGTATCATATATACATTCAGTGTGGTTCTGTAAAGGTTAAAATTAGATATGGTAGAAGATCAACATGCTCAGGGCAAATCCTGGTTTAATCACACAGAAAATGGGAACAGAATCCAAATGAAACGACAACTGCTGCACCTTTCTCCCACCCGTGGTTTGCTTCCCTGCAGTCTGTTCTCTGCCATGAGTTTTCCCCACTCAGGCTTGATAACAGGCAGTAAGCCATGAAGACTGACTGCAGAGGGAAAAGCCATCTGGAGGGAGGAGTCAGTCCCACTTGCATTTCTGTGTTTAAACTAGCCTTTTCCACTCCACTTTTCTATGTGATTGGGGCAGATCTGGGTTTAAACACACAGGTCTATTGTGACTCAGCACAAAGATTATCTGTGCATGCTTCTGTATTTTACTGAACTTTTGCTATCAGTGATGTTTCTAAGCAGAATTACATCATTCTAAGCTCACTGAGCTTGTGGTGTCACTGTAAGCTCCAGAAGTGTTCCAGTAGAAGCCTCACTGCTGACAGCAATGGGTCAGTAAAAATTATATATAAGCATGCATAGATCTCCCTTTTCTGATCTCAATGTGACTCTGCCACGTATCAGAATTAAGATGATGTTTTTTGTTGTAAACTAGACAAGTTTATAAACGCAGTTATTTAACATGGAAACTCCTGATAACAATTTTTAGAATTACTTTCTAAACATAAAAGAAAAACAGATATGTCACAGGCAGGCTATTTTTTGCTTTTACTCCTCAGCATCACTAATGAAATCCTGAAGATTCTCAGCCTCTCATATTGGTAAATGACCTTAAAACTTGTTCAAAATGAGAAATGCACAGACATGTTCATAGTGGAATGGAGAGAATGAGAATAGGCAGGAGTGAAAGAACAGTAATTAAATTACAGTAGTAAAGCTTAGCAAACTTGGCATGGACCTTAGGATAGTGGGGCTCAGTCTGGCTGCTGGGTACTCAGCTGGGAACAGAGCAGCATGATGCTGAAGCCAAATTGAGTAAATGTCTCTAGCCAGAGTCCTGTGGGCAGTGTGAGTGCCAAAAGCCTTCAAGATAAGAGAATCACATACTTTGTGTATTTTTTTTTCTTATGGAAACATTGGAAATGTTGGGGAAAACTGAAAAAAAACCCTCTCAGGAAAAAAAATTCCTTTTGAAATATGAATTAAACATTTTTTAAGACTAGGTTTTCAAATATTTTACCTGCCTTTTACTCCCTCAAAATGTTTTCTAGTAACCACCTAAGACAAAATCCTATATACCATAGACACAGAACACTGTCAGATTCTCTTGCTCACTTCAGATTTCTTTATCTTCTTCAGCATGTTGAAAGGAGCTGGTATATACACAAGCTAACATGTGAAAGAGCAGAGAAGCTTGTTTCAATCCAGAAACTATGGTTCTTTCAGAACCTAATTCAGACTGGAGAAAGAAATTTGAACATAATGTTCTGAAGGATAGAGGATCTACAGTGAAAAATGTCTTAACCAGCATGACTGGGAAGCTGGGTCTACTAGTGAACCAACAATGCTGGTTAAGTAAGCAGGGACTGCCTGCCTGCTCCTCCACAGCCTGAGAGCAGGCTGAGGAGGAACAGGCAGTTGTCTTGGTAGTCTCCTGGCCATGGGCACCACCCTAGGCGGCAGCAGGGGTCCTAGGCAGCATTAGGGATGATGTCCACAGATAGTATGCCCAGCCCACCTTACTGCCAGTTATCGGTGAGGCAGGCAGTGATGCACAGTTGTTGTTCAGTCGCACAGTCGAGTCCAACTCTTCGTGACCCCATGGACCAAATCACACCAGGCCAAATCACAGTTACAGGCCTTTAAATCTCCTCGCTGCACAGGTCATTGACGGGGTGCGTGCGTGCGTGCGCATGCAGCCATGGCCAGAATGTGCCTCCCATGCCTCCCTGCCCAAATGCCTCCCCCCACACTGGTGCACAGCTGTGTGATGGGCAATTATTTAAAGGAGGGGGATGCATTCTGGCCCTTTAAACACCTGCCCACCACACTGCCTATCTGCTGCATGGGGACCGGGAGTAAGGTACCTTAGCAGTGGGGTTATAAAACCACTCCACTGCTGTCTGCTGACCCTTGAGAGCTGGCAGCAATGGCCAGTGTGCCACTTAATTGGGCTTTTACTATATTATTTATTTATTCATTCGTTTTGTTTAATTTATATCCTGCCCTCCCTGAGAGTGGGCTCAGGGCAGCTAACAACAAAGAAGTTACAAACCCATTAAAACCAATTATAACAATACAATAAATTATTTAAAACATTTTAAAAGGCAAACTATTGCATTCATTCATATCGTTATAGCAATGCTAACTGGACGACAGAACGAGGACGGAATGGGTGGATATAATAGGGCAGTTTTCAGCAAGGGAGGCCAGATGGGCGGGCATCCGAACAAGTTTCATGTGGCTAATTTTGTCCACAGTTACTCTACCTATTAGGTGTAATTAAGGTAAGATAGGGGTTTCTGCATACTTTGTAACTTTTCAAATATGAATAAAAATGACATTGAAAATTAACAAAAAAAGGGAACCATGGCTTGAATGAGGGGTACATGTACTCCAGGAATGCAGAATGTCAAGAGCAGCTAAGCATCATTTAAGGGGGGGGGGAGTGTAAAGGCAAAGGGCACAAACAGACGTATATGATAAAGATCACGGATCTCTGTCAGTCTGTGGAAGGCAAATCATGCCCATACAGCAGTGATTCAGGCTGAGATTACAGAAGAAGGGGAGAGGGGATGTAATGCTTCAACACACTCAGATTAACTAATTAAAGAAAGGTTTCAAAATGTCAGAAATTGTTCTCTCTCCTCTGAATATTCTTAAGATATCAGATTCTAGTTACCCTAATTACACTCAGGTCTCTAAAATACCTGTATGTTGCACAAGCACAATTTGCAATAAAATAATACAGGGAGAAGTACCATTTGATTGAGGGCTGTGAAGAATTACTACACAGAAGGCAAAAAGACCTGGGGCTTCATCTGTGAGCTACTCTGCTCCTTTATCAGCCAGAAACTCATTAAAAATCTGGTTAGGCTGTTCAGCATAGTGGAGTTTAGGCTGGAGATGGCTCCATATTGCCTGAAGACTCAGCCCCTTCCCCCCAGATCCCATCAGGGAGGGCGTAAATCAACCTATGTGTCCCCCCCCCCCGGCCATGTCCCCAGACTGATGTCCCATTTCCACAATGGTCATTTATTCATGATGGTGCAATATTACAGAAGTTCAAAGTCATTCTTAGTAAGATCACTACTATCTCCCCACACCTCTCACCATTATGAGACACAATTATGGCTCCATATCAGGCAGGAAACTGATGTCCTCTAATTATTTTTCTTGTACATGTTTTGTGAACAAGCACAAGCTAAACAAGTTTTCCCAGTTTACCTTCTGTGCCTACTTAGATATAAACAGAGGAACAGGTGCTAGTCAGTATATTCTCACACACAACAGTGGGCTTTGTGCCTGCTGTTGCGCACAGTGATTTCCTTTTCCCGCCTCCTACAACTGCATTACATGACTGATATTTTCAGCTTCATTGTCCTATGGTGAATGGAGTGGATGGTGCCTGAATTCAGTCTTCCCCCTCCCTATCATACAGGTATCAGGGTTAATTATATGCCCAATAGTGTTGGGTAGATTGCTCAGGGAAGATGAAAAACCCAGAACAGCAATAACTCAAATTCTTAAGTTGTATCTAGTTTCCCCAAGTCAATGACTCCAAAGGATACCCAGTGAGTTAGCTCTGGTGCCCTTCATGGTGTCCCCTCCTGCACCATGTTCATCCATCCCCACAGCTCATCTATCATCCATGTAGGCTATCCTAGTGCTGCATTGCTCCATTATTACTGAAGTGATAAAACTACCCCCTGGCCAAATCCTGGGCACAAGATAACATTCAAAAGTTCTGTGGAAGTGAACCAACATGTAAGGAACATCACAGCCCTTAATCAAACAAACAATCTCCACATCTAATATTTTTATATTAAATTCAACAGGCATATTACAGGCTGATGAAACAAACATTTCTCACTCAGCCCTATATTAGGGAAAGCAATCTTCTCATTACTGTCTACTCCATCTTCAGGTGAACAGAATATTTCAAGAACTGTAGTTATATCCCACTTCCCACAGGCAGCATTTAAACTTTTATCCCAGAAATCTAGAGATACAGTGCACATTGTTTAAAAGAGCAAAATATGCCTTAAAGGTAAAGGTAAAGGTTCCCTTGCTCGAAAGCCAGTCGAATCCGACTCTAGGGTTGCGGTGCTCATCTCCGTTTCAAAGCCGAAGAGCCAGCGCTGTCCGAAGATGTTTCCGTGGTCATGTGGCCGGCATGACTAAACACCAAGGCACGCGGAACGCTGTTACCTTCCCACCGAAGTGGTACCTATTTATCTACTTGCAATTTCTTGCTTTCAAACTGCTAGGTTGGCAGGAGCTGGAACTAGAGACAGGAGCTCACCCCGTCTTGCGGCACCCGGGTCTTGAACTGCTGAACTACTGACCTTCCACAGCCTGCAGTTCAGCGTCTTAACCACTTGAGCTAATAATATAGCAGTGATGTCCCAAAAGCACTTTTCCAAGAGTGAACCCCATTAAGTAGACTTGAGTAGGATTCCAAGTAAACCTGCTTAGGTTCCTTATGTCTGCTCTCTGTGTCTCACAAGCATCTTACTAAGCCTCTGTGTTATAAGGTGCAGAAAATGCATACTGATTTACTTTAAAAGATATAAACAAAATAAAGATTCTCAAGTTCTTCAACATATAATTATCTATGCAAAATTCCTGTTTACTATTCACTTCAGGATCATTGTTTATTCACATAAACTGATGCAGCAGAAGCCAAACTGCTGGCTCTGATTTTCTTTTTGGTTCATCATCACACACACAAACAGCAAGTATATGTTCTCATACCTGTATTAAGCATTTACTGACATCACTAGCGCACAGAGCCTTGTTGCAGCACATTGATGGCTGGATTGAGAAAAACAACATCATGCTAACTAGTGCTGGCACGGTGGTGTACCACACCCTCATGTTCCTTGTGGGCAGGAAATTTCTGGGACCTCCAGACAGCACTGAAATAAGAAGCATCACATGGAGACACTGAGGCAGAAGTAAAATCTTTCATCTTTAGCACATTGTTCTTATTGTTTCTGTGGGTCTTCCATATTCAGCAATATGTATGGCAAAAACAGAAGCCCGTGAATAGGTCAGCTTACTACTTTTCTGAAGACTTTAAGCTTACATAAAGCTTGATAATTTAAATTTTAATCAGGGTATCGGTGCATTCATTTGCATGAGAATTGGCAGTAGCTAAGATAAATGCATGGTGATTAGATAAAATATTTTGATAGGTTAGCAAGACAGGGAACGCCAACAAGGAAGCTGATGCAAAGATTCCTTTCTAATATATAAATAAATGCAAACATGTTTTAACACAGCCCCAAAGTGTTTCAACACCACCTGTCTAGATGTATTAATTTACACACAAGGCTTTTGAACAAGGATCTGGAGGGCTGCCATGTGTGTATGAACAGAGTACTGAGATGTTATATTAATACACATATTTGTGAATGGAAAAATGTGATGATGTCCTTTTTCTGCATGTGCCAGTTATCCATTTATACGACATACTTAGTCCTATCACTCCTAAATATTGGCTCCCCAAATTATACTACCAAGTGATAACAGTCTAAAAACAGCAGGGTTCTGAGAGGCAGGCACCAGGGAAGTCCTTCTTTGGCAGCCAACCAGTACCTTCCACTACTCCTACTTGCCACGGCCCCTTCCTGACACCAGGAACACGACTAGCACTAGGAACCTTTTTGAGGATGCTGAAGCCTATGTAGGATGCGGAGCTCATCGAGATCTGGAAGGGTGCTCCCCACTGCTTAGAAGCACAGCTTTTCTGAGCCAAAGGCATTTTGTCTGGATTCTTTAGAAGAACTTGATTCCTCGTTCTGTTTATAAGACCGTGTAATTCCTCATCAGTTACTTCCGGTTTCCAGCAACCTAACGTGTTGGGAAATGGCAGAGAATGTATGGCCATGATCACCTTTCCTGACAACCATTTCAAACCAGTGTGGTGTAGAGGTTAGAATGCTGGACTAGGATCTGGGAGACCCAGGTTCAAATCCCCTCTCTGCCGAGAAAGCTCACTGGGTGATTTTGGGCCAGTCGCATACTGTCAGTGTAAAAATGGAGCAAAGGTCAATGGTGTAAACCTCTTTGGGTCCCCACTGGGAAGGGAAATGGGGTATAAATGAAGTAAATAAAAATAACATAAAATCATGTTTAGATTTGACAAATCCACTTGTACTGTTGCCTCTGACACACTACTTCCTTGGTGGCTGACTGGTCTGGCAACATCTCCTTAGAGAGGCTAAAGAGTTTTTAGGATCTGGCATGAAACTCAAAAAGTCTTCTTCTTTTTGCCAGTTTGGTGTAGTGGTTAAGTGCGCGGACTCTAATCTGGGAGAACGGGTTTGATTCCCCACTCATCCATTTGCACCTGGCTGGATGCCCTTGGGCAAGCCGTAGCTCTGATAAGAGCTGTTCTTGAAAAAAGAGCAGTTTCTGTCAAGAGCTCCCTCAGCCCCACCTACCTCACAGGGGGAGGGGGAGGGGGAGGGGAAGGAGTTTGTAAGCCGCTCTGAGACACCTTTGGGTAGTGAAGTATAAATCCAAACTCTTCTTCTTCTTCAGTGAAATATAACAAACAAGAAGGATGCTGCCAAAAAGGTCTACTGAAAGTTTCTAATCTCCATTTGATTCAGGGCTTCAGATTTTGGTTGCCATTAAAAAACTCTGTGGCTATTTGAAAGTTATTTTCACTTCTATTCACCCAGAATAAGCAACCCTACCTTTCACTCACTTCATAGCAGCTCAGAATGAAACCAAGGTGTTCCAGTTTATATGCTTAAAACAGCAAATTTCACCTGAATGTTTACCACCACCACCACCACCACCACCATCTCACATCCCTTGCTACCGATCCTTAGGTTGACGACTGGCACTAGGAAACTTTTTGAGGATGCTGCAACTTTTTACTTCGGAACCTCCGGGGGAAAGGCAGCTCCACCAGTCATAAGGCACAAAACCAGTGCCAAGAAAGATGAAAAGTAGTTCCCCACCTCCCGGTGAAACCAGCTAAGGCAGGTTTGGCTAGAGGATTAAATGAGACGTGAAGCAAAGCAGAGCAGAAAGGAAAAGGTCTGCACTAACTCACGCTATTACCCCCAACATGGACCAGCATAAAAATACAGTCTGAAAGACGGCCAGTCGGCCATCCCGGCACCAGAGGATCTCTCTCCAAGACAAGAAGAACGACCTAAAACAGAATCCCATTTCTCCCAAATCCTGGAGCAAGACTACCACAGAACAATCCCTCGGCATTTCCACGTTCCCCGCTTCTCCCGCTTCCGCGAGAGCCCCTCTCTCTCTCTCTCTCTCTCTCTCTCGCCCCCCCCCCCCCCACCCCGCGCCTGGGACCTGTCCCCTCCTCCTCTGCTACAAAGGCCTGGACTACTCCAAGTTTTCCCCAGGCAGGCGCCCTCTTACTCTGCACTGGATGTCGACAGCCCGGCCCCCGGCTTTGGCTTGTGGGACGACCACGGCGGCGGGACCTCGGCAGCCACTCCGCTCGGCGGCACTCGCCAGGAGGCGGGCGACCTACAGGCACCTTAAAGGGACAGGCCCCGGCCGGCCCCCACCTTGCATGCAGTTCCGACCGAAGAAAGAGGCGGGGAAAAAAATGGCCAAATCGTCTCCTCCTTCCTAGCCTCATGTGCACCTCAAGGCGTCTGAGGGGCGCGCCTACGCGGCTTCTTTTCTTAGGCTCGCAGTGTATACATGACTGACTCTTGTATTTTAATATTTAGGGGCGGGAAACCGGGGAGGGAGCGCCGAAAGAAAGTCCTGCCCACTAATTGACATCGACTTCCAAATTCCTGCTAACTTTCATAGCCGTGATGGAATAGCACCTTTTCCTCCGCGGTGAGGACAGGAAAGGTTGCTCCTTTCCCTTCAGGGACTCCAGAAGAGATGGCCGGGACGCTACACCTCAGGGTCCGGCCTCCTTTGTATTAATGTTCCTACTTTTACTCAACTTCGCCAAACAAATACTGGGACTTTGCCGCCCTCTTCTTGTGTATGAAAGGCGGGTCTGGGTAAAAGTCGGATCTACACGGATCCTCATGAATTCATATGATTTTTAAATTGAAATGAAATAAAACCACCATCATACTGTAGACCATGTGTTACTCTATAGGGGGCACCACAAAAATCAGGCATCCACAGATTGGTGGCACCACAACAGCTCAAAAACATGATCCCAAAGCACGGATCCTCATGAATTCATGTGATTTTTATGCTGAAATAAAACCACCAGCATTCTGAAGACCATATCTTAGACTATAGGCAGCACTACACAAATCATGCCTCCACGAATTCGTGGCACCACAAAAGTGAAAAAACATAGTTCCAAAGCACGGATCCTCATGGATCCTCAGCGTTTTTCAATTGGTTCATTCCAACATGATCATCAAATCACATATCATGTCCATGGATGGCCGCAGCTTGCACCACAGAAATCATGAGTCCACGGCTTGGTGGCAAATCCATGCTGCAAAAAAAAAGGGTTCTGAACCATGGACACTTATGGATCCTCAGGGATTTTGTGCTGGATCATCCCAGACTCACCATGGAATCATATATCATGTCCATGGCCACAGTAATCACCACGAAACTCACAGATCCACAGTTTTGTGGAAACATCATGCTCCAAAAACGTGATTCCGAAGCACGGATCCTCATGGATCCTTATGATTTTTGCATTAGGTCTCCCCAACATCACCATCAAATCACATATCTTGTCCATGGCCACAGAATGCACCACAGAAATCACATGTCCATGGCTTCATGGAGACACCATGCTGCAAAAAAATGCTTCTGGAGCATGGATCCTCATGGATACTTGTGGTTTTTGTTTTGGGACACCCCAAACATATTATTAAATCCCATATCATGTCTATGGCCACTACTTGCACCAAAAAATTCATGGATTCATGGCTTCGTGGCAACACCATGCTGCAAAAACATGGTTCCAAAGCATAGATCCTCAGTGTTTTTGTGTTTGGTCACCATGAACTGACTGTCAAATCACATATCATGTCCATGGGCACAGTTTGCACTACAAAAGTAATGGATCCACAGCTTCGTGACAACACCATGAAGCCAAAACATGGTTCTGAAGTATGGATCCTTATGGATCCAGTGTTTTTGGAATGGAACACCACAAACACACCATCAAATCACATAACATGTCCGTGTCAATAGCTTGCACCACAAAAATCAAGGATCCACAGCTTCGTGGCAACACCATGATGCCAAAACATGGTTCTAGAGCACGGATCCTCATAGATGCTTGGGTTTCTTGTGTTGGGACACCCCAAACCTACCATAAAATCCCATATCATGCCCATGGCCACAACTTGCACCACAGAATTCATAGATCCACGGCTTCGTGGAAACACCATACTACAAAAACATGGTTCTGAAGCATGGATCCACATGGATCCTTATGATTTTTGCATTGGGTCACTCCAAACACACCATCTAATTACATAACATGTCCATGGCAGCAGCATGAACCACAAAAATCATGAAACCACAGCTTTGTGGGAATACCATTCTGCAAAAACATGGTTCTGGAGCACGGATCCTCATGGATCCCAGGGTTTTTCAGTTGGGTAACCCAACATCACCATCAAATCACATATCCTGTCCACAGGTACAGCTTGAACCACAGAATTCATGGATCCATGGCTTCGTGGCAACACTATGCTGCAAAAACGTGGTTTCAAAGCATGGATCCTCATGAATCCTGTGGGTTTTTGTGTTGGGTCACCATGAACTCACCATCAAATCACATATAATGTCTATGGGAACAGTTTGAACTACAAAAGTCATGGATCCACGGTTTCATGGCAACACCATGAAGCAAAAACATGGTTCTGAAGCACGGATCCTCATGGATCCACAGTGTTTTTGTAATGGAACGCCCCAAACACACCATCAAATCACATAACATGTCCATGTCAACAGCTTGCACCACAAAAGTCATGGATCCACAGCTTTGTGGCAACACCATGATGCCAAAACATGGTTCTGAAGCACAAATCCTCATGGATAAACAGGTTGCTTACCTGTTAACTGGTGATCTTCGAGTGGTCATCTGTGCATTTACACCCATAGGATCTAGTGCGCACACGCTGGATCGATCGGTGCTGTAGCAAGCTCTTTTAACGGATTTTCATGCCCAGACCTCGGGCATGCGCAGGAACCCCACCGTGCATGCCCAGAGGGGTGGGCGCGGATATCCCGCCAGTTCCTTCAAACTGCTGCAAATCAACCCCTATTGAAAATGTATACGCTGACAGCAGCGGGGAAGAAAGGCGGGTGGTGTGAATGCACAGATGACCACTCGAAGATCACCAGTTACAGGTAAGCAACCTGTTTATCTTTGACATGGTCTCTGTGCTTCACACCCATGGGAGAATAGTGAGCAGTGGCCTACCTGGAGAAGGGTACTGGCAGGTCCTTTACTGCGTAGCCGAAGACAGAATGTGACGTCCCATGTTGGTATTCTTACAGACGTCTAGGGCGTAGTGCCTGATGAAGGTGTTAGGCGTGGCCCATGTAGTCGCTTTGCAAATGTCCATCAGGGGAATTCCCTGGAGGAAGTCAGTGGAAGTCGCAACAGCTCTGGTAGAATGAGCCCTGATAGGGCCAGGCAATGGCTGTTTGGCGATTAGGTAGCAGAGATGGATGAGCCCCGCAATCCACTTTGACAGGCGCTGAGCCATGATGCGAGTCCCCAGCCTTGCTGGTGCATAAGAGATGAACAGTTGGGAGTCTTGTCTCGTTGGGTGTGTTCTATTGAGGTAGAACAGGAGAGCCCGCTTCACATCCAAAGTGTGTAAGAGTCTGTCCTCCGTGGATGTTGGAGTTGGGAAGAAATCCGGGAGGAAGAGCTCCGCGTGCAGGTGGAACTCTGACACCACCTTTGGCAGGAAGGAAATGTCCGGTACGAGGCAGACTCCATCTGGCAAAAACGACAGGTAAGGCGTATCGTGTCAGAAAGCCAATATTTCTCCCACTCGCCTAGCCAAGGTGACAGCAATTAAAAAGGCCATTTTCCATGCTAGACATTTGAGGTCGCATGTTGCGAGCGGCTCAAAGGGTTTCCTTGTGAGCTGGCAGAGAACTAGAGGAAGGTCTCAGGGAATGACTGGAGTTTTGACAGGAAGGTAGAGATGCAATAAACCTTTTAAAAAACGTTTTGAAAGTGGATGGGAAAACAGTCTGCATCCGTCAACTTGAACATGGTAGGCCAAATAAACTCGTAACGATGAATGGGAAAGTCCCGAGTCAGCTAGGGAGAGGAGGAATTGGAAAACTCTTTCGAGACCCACTGAGGTGGCTCGAGGGGCGTCATCACCTAAGGAAGAACAGAACCTTCGCCATTTATAATTGTAGGACCTCCGCGTAATAGGTTTCCTGGAATTCAATAGAACATTCGCCATGCGGGTGGAGAAACAGGTGACATTATCCTCCATGCTGTCAATTTCAATTGTTGTATGTCGTGATGTAGGAGAGGGGAGTCGGACAGGAGGAGGAGGTCCTGAGCCAGAGGGAATTGATGGTATTCGAGGACTGTTGAAAACCATGGTTGCCTCGGCCACCATGGGGTTATTAAGATGTAGTCCACGCCGTCTCTGAGTATTTTGCGGACCACTCTCAGAAGCAGAGGTACGGGAGGAAAGAGGTACAGAAGTCCCGTGGGCCAAGGGTAAAGGAGACCGTCTCCCAGAGATTGTGGATCCTTGCCTCCCCCGCTGCAGAACAGAGGACACTTTTTGTTGTTTCTGGTGGCAAAAACATTGACTGGGGGAAATCCCCACCTGCGGAAGAGTGGGAGGAGGTATGTTGGGTTCAACTCCCACTCGTGAAGGCTGAGTCCTGCTCGACTTAGATGGTCTGCCAGCACGTTCATGTGTCCAGGGATGTGAGTGGCTACGAGGAAAATGTTGGCGATACAAAGATCCCACAACTGGATGGCAAGGTTGCAGAGGCATAGGGAAACAGTGCCTCCCTGCTTGTTGACATAAGAGAGCGCCGTGGTGTTGTGCATGAGGATCATGACACGCTTTCCCCTGATAACAGGTAGGAAGCTGGTGACAGCATGTTGTATAGCTAGCAGTTCTAGGAAGTTTATGTGTTGCTTCCTCTTCTGCGCGTCCCATTTCCCTCCAACAGAAAGGCACATCGTGTGTGCACCCCATCCCGTCAGGGAAGCATCTGTCGTTAGAGTGAGTTGGGGTGAAGGCAGATGGAAGGGCGCCCCTTGGAAAAGATTGGAGGGGACAGTCCACCAAAGTAAGGACTCTCGTATGTTGGTAGGAGGGGTTAGGATGGTGGTGTGTGCGCTCTTTGAGGTATCGAAGTTGCGGATGAACCGCAGTTGTAGATGGCTCATTTTTAGTTTTGCAAAGACCAGGACCGACGTAGCCGCGGCCATAAGGCCGAGTAGCCTCTGTATCTGGAAGGCCGTGACCAAGGGTTGGGTACGAATGATGGTGGCTAAGTGGACGATGTCTGCTGCCCTGTTTTGGGGCAGGTAAGCCATGCATGTTTTGGAATCCAGTAGGGCACCAATGTATTGTATCTGCTGGGCTGGTTGCAATTGAGATTTCTGGAGATTGATTTGTAAGCCCAGATCTTTCAAGAGTACCATTGTCTCGTTGAT